TGTTTCCTCTCCACCTATCCTCTCCTCTATCCCTCTTCTATCCGCCTCCCACTCCCTATTTATTTCAAAACCCCCTTCCCCTCCCCCTTTTCTGATGAAGGGTCTAGGCCCGAAACGTCAGCCTCTCTGCTCCTATGATGCTGCTTGGCCTGCTGAGTTCATCCAGCCCTGCACCTTGTTGTCTCGGATTCTCCAGCATCTGCAGTTCCTACTATCTCTGATTCAAACTGCCATCCTTACCTGGTCTGGCCTACATGTGACTCCAGACCCACAGCAATGTGGTTGACTCTGAACTGCAATTAGGGATGGGCAATAAATGCTGCCTAGCCAGTGATGCCCTCATCCCGTGAATGAATAAAAGTAAAGGATGTGTCCTGTGTTGTTTGCTTTGACAGAACATCAAGACCTTGATGGGGCTGGAGAAGACGAAAGGTTTCTGCCACGTAGTGGTATCATCCAACCGGCGAGACGGGGTCTCGCACTTGATCCAATCATCTGGCCTGGGAGGAATGAAGCACAACACTGTGCTGGTGGCGTGGCCAGAGTTATGGAGGCAAACAGACGGTCCAACAGGCTGGAAGAACTTTGTCGGTCAGTATTACATTGCTCAGTTATTCGCTGAATCTCCATGTGATTAGTCCCAGGGGTGCCAGATCTAATTTGAGTTGTGCATTTTCAGAATCCACCAGGATTCCTGATTTGTTCTCCAGTTTAGGGGTGAGCAGATTGAGGTGCTTTAAAATATTCAAGAGATTTGGGAGAGTGGTTGCAGAGAAGCTGTTGGCTTTAGACAATCCAAAAGCATTTAAGAGGGAGACGAGAAAACACTTTTTTTCACCTAAAGTGTCAGGGAAATGTGGAATTCTCCCTCCAAGGCTGTAGACGTGTGGGGTCAAGACTATATTTAATAGATTTTTTTAGGAAGAACATATTAAGGAAGATGCTGAGTGGCTAGACTGGATTTGAAATACAGATCAGCCATGATCTGATTGAATGGTGGAGCAGACATGAGGAGCCTAATTGCTGCTCCCATATGGTGAGTTCAAGGAGTGAATGGCTTTCTTCTGTTCCTATATTAGGCTTGTGGGAGTAAAGTCACATTTGAAAATGCAAGTGAAGCCGTCCAAGTTGTGTACACCATGGATCGTGATGGCACTAAGCCACTGAAAGGAGGAGACCACACCAATGAATTGTCAACACGAAATCAGAAATTGCTGGAGAAACTCAGCAGGTCTGGCAGCATCTGTGGCGAGAGCAACAACTAACATTTCAAGTCCGTTCTTCGGAACTGATAGTAGCTAGGAAAAGGTATCATGTATGCTGAAGGCAAATGGTTGGGGTGGGATGAAAGGAAGGACTGAGAGAATAGGCGGAGCCCAGAGAGAGAGAGAGAACGACAGCTAAGTAGACAAAGGGATGGATGATAATACGCCAGGGAGAAAGGAAAGCTGACAATAGGAACTATAGTTGGGGGAAGTGGATTGACTGTGCTGAAAGCAGCCTGTGTCAATCCCACTCACAGCCCCTAGTCTGTCCCATGTACTTCTGATCTCCAAGTAGAGCAATAGAAAGACGTCTATGATTCGAAGGACAGCATCCAGATGTTAGTTGTTTCTTTCTAATTAAGTTGTGGGATGTTGGCAAGCCTGGCACGTATTTGGCCTATCCCTCAAAGCTGATGATGGATCATTTTGGACCTACAAGTCCCGTGGTGATGGCACTGTAAAGTGGGGAGTCCCAGCAGTTTGGAGTGAGAATAATGATATCCACCTGACTGAGAAAATAGTGTGAGACTTCCAGGCAGTGGTAATCAAATCCAGGAACTGTTTTAGTCCTTTTGAGGTGGTGGAGGTCAAAAGGAATTGTAGAGTCATATTGAAGGTCCCTTGACAGATTACTACAGTACGTCTTGTAGAATGGTACATAATGCAGGCACAGTGCACTTGTGACACAGAGAGTGAACGTTTAACTCAATGATGGGTTGCTGTTGGAGTAGACTTTGTTTTGTCTTGAAACTATGTAATAATTTTGACAATACTTTGCTCTAGTTAAACATCCAGTTATTTTAGGTCATTATGTAGGATAGTCATGCCTTAATGGGGACATGAGTGTCTACATGTTGGATATTTAAAAACAAGAGGAAGATTTGTTTGCTGTTAATCCACACTATATGCTTTGAAATGTAATTCTTCATCTTGGAAACATGTTAGGCATGTTTCTTTTATGGAGAGTTAATCGATTTTAAATCTTGCATTTTATCTTCATGTAAACCAATTTATCGTTTTATTGTTGCATAAGTTGTTGGCAGTTCTAAACAAATTCATTGATCCCTGATTTTTAAAAGACGGTACTTTTTTTCCGCCTCTGGATCTTTCCACTTCCATTAGCAAACAGCAGGTGGTGATCTCAGCTCACTGTTAAATGCTGTCAAGGAGCTAGAGAAAGAGACCTGCAGTAGATTCGTTGACCGTTTGAACCTGCTGCACCATTTAATAAGATCATGACTGATCTTCCACACTATCCCTATTACTCACCTGAGAGAGAGTTCAAACAGATTCTACGCTATTGCGTGGGTCTGGAGTCACGTATAGGCCAGACCAGGTAAGGATAGCAGTTTCCTTCCCTGGAGCACATTAGTGAACCAGATGGGTTTTTCCAACAATTGACAATTGATTCATGGTCATCATTAAACTCTTAATTCCGGATTTTTTTAAAAAATTGAATTCAAATTTCACCATGTGCCGTGGCGGTATTCAAACCCGGGTCCCCAGAACTTTATCTGGGTCTCTGGATTAACAGTGCAACGTTGATACCATCGCCTCCCTTCATGCTGTTGCTAGTGTATGATGAGCATAAACCCATCACAGGGCAGTGAGAGGCCATGACATACCACAAACATTATCCGTGCACCTCAACCCACCAGGAAACGGTCGGGAAATGAAAACCTCTCATCCAGCCTAACTAGGTCACCCGCTACACCAAGTTTCCTGCTCTTGCATGCTCCACAAAATTCACTACCTCCCCCAAAATTTCTTTATTCCCTATCACAATTTCACAGTCTCCAGTGGGAGTCCTAAAACTAAAGTGAAATATGCAGATAATGGGCATCTGAAATTAAAACACAAAGTGCTGGGAAGATTTGGGTCAGGCAACGAGAGGGAATCCATGTTGGTGTTTCATGTCATTCGTCTTTCATCAAACTTGACATCCAAAAACTGGAAATAATGAACTTGGGTAACGGTGGGTAATCAGGACAGAACACGTTCTGCAGATATTGACAGTGTTCTGAGGAAGGGCCACTGGACCCGAAACATTAACTCTGATTTCTCTCCACACATGCTGTCAGGCCTGCTGAGCTTTTCCAGCAATTTCTGTTTGTTTCTACTTTACAGCATCTGCAGTTCTTTTGGTTTTTATTTGGCCAGGTTAGATCCCTTCTTAGACCTAATGCATGCGGGGATAGATGCTGCTCGTGCATGAGGGATTGCACTCAGTCTTTCGCATCTTCCTTTGCCTTGCTCCAACTGTTTGGGTTTCATTATCTTTTCTCCTTGCCATCCCACCACCTTCCCTAATGCACTAAGGGACATGGAAGGTAATCTCTGTCCCTTCTACCCTTTGTGTTGGGACTGGGGATGTAACTTGGCCTGGGTGATATAGGGACACGTTCAGCCGGTCATTGGGTCCAGCGATGGAGTGAGGGAGAGGTCCTTTCTATGGGTCTCCTCTTCGCTCAAGTATAAATAGTCCTTCCTTCCAGCGGGAAAAGGCAGAGGTATAATAGTTAATGTAGAAATTCTGTTTCGTTCCAGACATGGTACGTGAGACAACAGCCGCTCACCAAGCGCTGCTGGTGACCAAGAATATAGATTCCTTCCCAACAAATCAGGAGCGCTTTTCTGGAGGCACCATTGATATCTGGTGGATTGTCCATGATGGGGGATTGCTGATGTTGCTACCATTTCTCCTCAGCCAACACAAGGTAAACTTTGTACCTGTTTAAAAGAGGGTCAACCATGTGACTGGATGTTCAACTTTTATTTTTCCTTCTTTGGTGCTAGAAGAGTAGCCTTAGTCACCCGTGGCTTTTGACGTCTCCAAATTGGACAATTGCAATGCTCTGCTCATTACTGTTCCCATGTTGCATCCTTTGAACTACAGCTCATTCAAACTCTCTGCTCACTGATTTACGTTCGGTGCCCTTTCGGACAACTCCTGGATTTTAGATTGTTGCTGTTTGAGACTCACCCCTTCCTTTCTCCGTTACCATCTCCAGCCCTACAAACCTTCTGAAATGTCGATGTTCCTCTAATTGTTCCAATTTGAGGATTCCAGTTAGTCTTCACCCCTCTGTCAGCTGCCTGGGGGCCTAAACTCTGGAATTCCCTCCTAAATCTGCCCACCTCCCCCCTTCTTGGCCCAAAACGCTGCTGCCTGTGACTTAACTTGCATTAGGCCCAATTTACTTATCACCTTTTGTGCTGGCTCCCTTCATTGGTTTCTGGTCAAGCAGCTTGATGTTTTTTTAAGATTCTCATTCTTGTTTTTCAAATCCCTCTATGCCCTCACCACTCCCTATCTCTGTAATCCCCTGCAGCCTCACGCTCCTCTGTGATATCTGTTTTCCTCTGATTCTGGCCTGTTGAGTATCCTCAATTTTAATTGCTCTACTATTGGTGGCATAGGTTTTGGTTGCTCAGCCCCCAAAACTCCGGAATACTTTCCTCTCACCTCTCGACCATTTTTCTTCTAATATCTATCTCTTTGACCAAGCCTTTGCTCGTCCCCTGTAATATTTCATGTGCACTTGCGTTTTGGTTTATCTGATTGCAGGACTGCGAAGCACCGTGGAGTGTTTACTAGGTCAAAAGCACTAGATAAATGCCGGGACACGTTAATGACTGAGATGGCTTATTTTGCAAAGTGGATCTGTTGCAGGTTTGGAAGAAGTGCAAGATGCGCATCTTCACCGTCGCCCAGATAGATGACAACAGCATCCAGATGAAGAAAGACTTGCAGTTGTTCCTGTATCAACTTCGCCTTGATGCTGAGGTCGAGGTGGTGGAAATGGTAAGAGCAGCCCTGTTAGAATGGAAATGGCCTTCTGGCCCCTGGATCGGTAATTGACTTGTGTGATCTCTTTGAAGGTCAGAACAGATTTGGAGGCCTGCTCCTATGTTTTCCCGCTTGTTTTATGATGCAAGCCAAATAGAGTCAGGGAACATTCAGCGAACACTGAAACCGCTCCGGCCTGTAGAGGTGTCCCTGCCGTATGTCATTTTCATTTGTACAATCATGTTGATTGGTAACAAATCATGAAGTTGTGGTCCATATGTATTGGAACGCCATCTGGTGGAGGGAAGTAGAAATTCTCTGGCTGCGGGTTTCAGGCCCAAAGGGACATTTCAGAGCCCAAAGACCCCAGGGCAAACTCAAAATCAAAACTTTGAAGCCCCACCCCACCTAAATAATCTGAATGAGGTGCTGCCTCCTTCTCAGACAGCTGACATCCAACCAGTGAATAAAAATTATTTTTAAGAAAAAACCTTTCCGTTGCCAGCTGTTGCAGGATGCTCAGCCAGTTGTGATGATTTGCCCTATAAATGGGCACTGGGGACCCCCTCCCTGCATGGAGAAGGCAGATCTTGTTTCAGCCAGCTACTAGGGTTGTCTGAAAAAGTGCTGAAAGTTGCCAAAAACACAGCCTACCTGTGCGAGTATGAGAATGTAGTTCAGTGGCTTAATCCTGTTTCGCCATTCAGTTACACCACAGCTGATCTGTAACCTCAATTCTTATTTACTTGTGCCTTTCCTTCAAAATTCTTGATGACCTTTGCATTATAAAAGAAATCAGCTTGACAATCTCAGCTGACACAGCGTCCACTTGATTTTTTTTTCCCCCCCACTTCGGAAAGATTTCCAAATTTCCAAATTGTCACTAAATTTAGTGCGCAAGTGCTTTCTTGCATCTCTCCTGAAAGACCTGGCTCCATCTTTCAAGCCTTTCCCTCTTGTTTTGGATGCTCCCACCAGAGGAATCATTTCACTCCCAGCTGTTTAATTTTTAAAAAAATATAATTTCATTCAGTCCAAAACCTGTTCCACTCAGAGGAAAAGCATGGATCATGCACCTGCTCGTTGTAATTTAATGTGCAACTAATATGTTTAGGTTCCAGGGCAAAGTCCAACACAAAGAGCTGTGTTATTTACTTTCAGGGGCTTTGCCTCTTTTTTTTTTTCCTTTTATTCCCAGCTTGACAATGATATTTCAGCCTTCACATATGAGCGAACTTTAGTGATGGAGCAAAGATCACAGATGTTGAAACAGATGCAGCTCTCGAAAAATGAGCGAGAACGAGAGGTAAGCATGTTTTGGTTTCAATTTTGTTCACATTTGCCAAAGAATTGCACACTGTTTTACCAACAAGAGTTTTTTTTTTTAACATTTCAATTTTATTCATGAAAACGTTAAATAGAATTTGCTATACTGCTCGTCGCCTGTTATTTTGAAAGGTTTTGCATAGTTTCTTCTTGAGTTTGCTATGATAGTACACAGTCTGATAGCATCAATGCAGAATACTGGGATGAACATGCTGCAGCAAAAAATGGAGAGGTTTATGAAATAACTCCACAGAGGTGGGTATTCCTTCACCAGATCACCATTTATTTACATGTGGAGAGTCCTTGACACTGATCCAGCTTCCTCAGATTAGTTCTTGGAATGAACAGGATGTCTGACACTCCTGTTCTTATGTCAGCCAGAGCTCCCTGATTGGACCAGATTAACAGCCTCAATCAGGGAACTCCTATATTATGAGGTCCACCTGGCTGACCTCATTACAATCACAACAATTTGGAAGCAATTCCACTGGAATATTGCTACAACAAAGCTTTAGCTGTGCTGACTGGGCCCAAAGAGTTGCTGCCTATAATTATTAGTAAATGTTTGTGGGGAACAAATCAGGCAATTGAGTCGTGCCATTGTTTGAAGACATTAGGCAGGAATTTGACTTATTTGTTTTTATTTTTGGTGAGATTTGTGTAGCTGCTTTGAAACATGGCTTCATGATTGTAGACCCAGTGAGCTGCTGATTTGTGTGTCTGAAGCCTTCACTGGGTAATGACAACCTTTAACCTCAGTTTACTGAGAGGGCATTGCTCGTACTCTGGGGCTAAATAAATGGTTGGGGTTGGATGAAAACTGTATGAGTGTGAGTTGTCCAAGTTTAGGTCACCTTTTCACAACCAGCTGTGGCTTAATGCCATGGTAGAGGTAGTTAAAATTATAAGAACAGCTCTGTTCTGACAGAATGGGAACAAAAGCCCAACAGTCACAGAGTTAGTTATTCACTGCAACTGACTAATGGCTTTAATTGCCTACTCATGTTCTACAGTCCACCGTCTGGCCCAATATTCCCTGCTTCACTGCCTTTTCACAATGGAAAGTGAATTGAGGTCATGCAATAAATTTCATGATGTCTCTGGTTTGCAGAGATCTATCCATCACGCAACATGATAGCATGTTGCATGTGAAGTCTCAGTCTAAGGTTTTTGGGTGCAGTCCCAAGGTAAGGGATGAAGATTTGCTGGCATTGGTTTAGATGCTGAAGGAGTATTTGTAAGCTGGGAGGTCAGCATGGGCTTGAACTTGTACCTTGGGCCTCAATAAAAGAAGCTAGATGCTGTCCCATCTCCATTGGTGAGAATTTTTTTCCTACAGAAGAAAACACAACTTCCCCTCCATTGGCAGTCCCCAACTATCCATGAAGTTCAACCAGTTTTTTGTGAAGGTGCCTGTAATGGGTGTTGCTGGACTCGTCAACATATATGAATACCCGCTTTCAATGTTTAGCCTAAGTCCGTTTAGTATTAGAAAGCCTTTACTTGGTAAAGACTGGTGGCACTTGATCATGATGTGCTTGCCTTGTCCCAGACTGTGCTAAAGCCATTAGTTTGTGGTATCAGTCAAGGGCCCAAACTGTTAATCCAAATGAACAGGAGTGGGACACACCATCACAATCATTAAAAAGCAAGGACCATCTTGTACTGTAATAGCATGTTTTCTATTTTCTATTTTCACAGTTTCCAAAACACTTTCCAGTAAATTAAATACCTTTAAATGTATTCCCATTATGATGGGCAAATGTGGCACCTAGTTTAGCCACAGCAAGATCCCATATTAAACGACGAGCTAAATTCTCCCACGATATGTTGACTGTAAGAGAAATATTGGACAGGACACTATAGGGAGAACTTCTCCTCTTCAAGTAGTGCCATTGAATCTTTTTAGCATCCACCTAAGAGGTTGTTTGGAGCCTCCGTTTAGCCTTTCACATGGAAGATGACCCCTGTCTCCGATCACGTGCTGCAATCTCTGAGGGGAGAGCCTTTTCAAAACCTTCTGGCTGTGAGATTGAGAGTACAACAAATTGATGCAAGTTTGGCAGAACACAATGGATCACCATTGTTTACACTATAACTATAAAAGTTACTTTACATCAACACTGTTGTATCAAACCAGAAAAGCTAGGCTGACTACCAGAGGCAAGGCTTCAGGTTTCTCTTCCAGTGTGGCCCTCACTGGTATTGCTCATAGCTCTGTCCCATGAACATTGACTCCTCTTCCAAATTGCTGGTTGCTCAGGTACACTCCGAGATGGTGATCACCTACAAATTAATTTATTGGTACCAAGAAAAGTCCTCACCTCCCTCCCAAAGTCTGTGTTCTTAGCCAAAAAGGCTGACCATAAATATTTTCATTGCCTCTGTACATTGTAATTATTCCAATACATAATCTGTAGGTGCTAATCATAACCACTTTTTTTCATTGAAGGAGATTAATTAATCATTTTTAAAATGCTACCTGGAGCCAAAACGCATGAGCAATCAACTGTTTGTTTCCAAGACCAAATAACAATGAAATTCCAATGACTGTCTCCACTTGGGAATAATTTTATGGTGAACTTAGAAAAATTACTCTTTGCCACGTTATTATGTACAACTGGGGAGATAATTCACTTCCAAGATAGACAACAGTTGCTCAGAAGACCAGACAGAGGAGCTGCTCATCTGGCCAGCTGCTGATTAAAGAAATGTATAGATTATGGGGACGGGATGGCAAGGGAACAAATCCCTGCAATGGTTAAAGATGATGATTAGATATGAACTTATCATAGGGCTATTTCTAAATTTAAGTTTAAGGCACGTCATTGTTGAGCTCCTTCAAGGGCCAATGAACAGTCTTTTATCTTGAAGCTGGAAGTTTGTGATTTTTGATTTTTTTTTTAATCTGGTTCTAGGTGAGATCACTTTGAAATATGGATGAATAATTAAATGTGCAAGTAAAAATGATCAGGCTGTGTCATATACCTCCTTTCTAAACAAAAAGCTGCAGAAATGAGCATCTGCTTTTGATAGCTTCAAAGATTGAACAGATTGCTTTTGAATAATTTGTCATAGCTGCTAACGCAACAGTAATGAGGGACTGCAGAAATGTCTGTGGATTTGTTTTTTTTTCTAGAACAACTTGCATTAGTTACAAACTGAGGTGTGTCAATAGATAACTAAAATGTATGCAGGTAGAAATATGCAGCATGTTAAATCTGCTTTTATTGTGATATTGAAATGGTATCTGTTCCTGAAACCTGTCCAGAGAATGTTTCCTAAGTAAGCAGAGGCAAAAGTCTTCAGGTTGCATTGCTATTTAGTCACAGAAACTTAACAAGCTGCTCAGTGCCCATCTGTTTTGGCTCCAGGACCAGAGCAGTACCCTTAAAGTGAGTGGATTTATTTCCTTTAACATCTTCCCTACAGATGCGAATCATAACTGTCTTTTATGTAACAAAAAAAGTAGTGGAATAATCACAATAACGATACAATTAAAACTTATGGCCTCTGCCTTCACTGCACAATTCATTTTGTCGGCCAGTGTGACACAGATTAGATGATTGCCTTATAGCCTCAATTTCTCGAATCTCAGTCCCGCCAGCATTGTGAGCCCTTGTATTGCTCCCCCATGTCACTAACTTCCACACCCACTTTCAACCTCATCATTTTACACTCTCTATGTAAAATTTTTTTTTAAGAGTCCCTACAGTGTAAAAACAGGCCCTTCGGCCCAACAAGTCCACACCGACCCTCCGAGAGCATCCCACCCAGACCCATCCCCTATTACCCACCTAATCTACACATCCTGAACACTATGGGCAATTTAGCATGGCCAATCCACCTAACCTGCACATCTTTGGACTGTGGGAAGAAACCAGAGCACCCAGAGGAAACCCACGCAGACGCGGGGAGAATGTGCAAACTTCACACAAACAGTCGCCCGAGGGTGGAATCGAACCCGGGCACTGTGAGGCAGCAGTGCTAACCCTTGAGCCACCATGTGGCTCACTGAAACACAGTGTGTTTTATAGAAACTTTCACAATATAACAAAAGTGCAAGTCATTTTATAGCTGCCAGGTGCACACTTGCAAATTGTGTAAATTATACCTGATTTGCGTATGAAATGTAACGTTTACGTTGTGCACCACTCTTCAGCGACCAAGGAAGTAAAGCCATTACAATGGTCAAAAGGAAATACAGGAACACTCTTGGTTTTTACCAACAAGTGTACACATTCACGTGCATCATGTGCATGAATGTAACAAAATCCCATATCCAGGACAATGTCCATATATGTTGCTGATCAGAAATGCAATTTACTAAATCTGGATTTAGCTCACTGTACTAATCCTGTCCCAGGCACTGTCTTTCTGATGAGACCGTAAACAGGCAGGGTCTCTGTTTAAAGTGGATGCAAAAGATCCTGTGGTATTAGGTTAAGAAGAGTAGGGGTTAGGGGATTATCCTGACCAATATGTATCCCTTAAACAACACTGCTAGGAGTCCGGTTATCTGGATTTTTGGGAGTTGGTGTACTAATTGGCTGCTACGTTTCTTGTTTTACAAGTGACTTCACTTTAAAAATAACTAACTTAATTGATTGCAAAGATATTTGTGAGGAATGCAATTTATGTGCACGTTTTAAGTCTATAATAGTATTTTTTGGAACCACATTAAATTTTCTGGTTACAAAGGGGTAACCTTTCCTCTTCTGGGTGGTAATCTGACAAAACAGACCATCTGCACTTTGTCGAGCCCCAGCAACGTTCATCTACGGATATTTAGAAAACCTGATCTATCAGATTAATATGCATAAGGTAAAATTACAGAGTCTTATCTGCAAATGTGATTGTTTGTAACTACCTGAATTTGGACACCTATTCCCAGCTTCATCCATTCTCCTGCCAGTTCTGACTGACTTATCACTTTTACGTCCATGTCTTTATTTCAAACCTGGGTCTGATGAGGCTGAGTCTCCCAGCTCCTGCCCAGATATAGCCACTCCTATATGTGAGTTGTGTTTAGCTCCTGCAGGCTTCAGGTGAGTATATAGCCACAGTAGCATGAGCACTCAACTTGAGGACATGTGAATCTATTCACAAAACACGTGCTCAAAGATCATACAGGATCTATTTAAGGAATGGTACTGTTTGTTATGAGCGTGGGTCAAGTTATAATGAAGCTGTGTTGTATACAAGGTACGTGGTTTAATATACTTTCAGCCAACCCGGTTGTGTATTGGTACTTGATGTTTAAATGCACAGAAAAAGGCAATTGCTCCACAATAGACACATCCTGTGTAACATCTGAAAGACTTTGACACCATCATTTTAAGCTGTATTGACAATGGATTGATGCAAGGGGCTAACATACCTCTTATTGACAATAGCACTAAAAAATCTGGTATTCAAGTAAATGTCAATTAAATTTCCATGATGTGAACTGATGTTAAAAGGCTTTTGTTTTTAAGAAAGATGATCCATTCTCTATCTTTGTTGCTGCTTGTGGGGATGTAAATAATTATTGATAAATATTGCAGAGATTCTGTGGATTGTAAAGCAGAACACCAGAAATATGGCCACAGTCCCATCTGTTGCCATATCTTCCACACTGTTTTGTTTTGTGCAGCTGTGCATTTGCTAGAAGAACAGTTGGCCTCGGTACACCGTCATTTAAGGTTTTCTTTTAACCTGGCACTCAGTTCACATGCCATGCAAAGTGAGATGTGCGTGCTGCTCACTGGCCACTGAGAAATACACCAGGAGGCCTGGTATCATTGTTCTGCTCCCATTTGTCGGAGGAACACTCCTCGTCTTCCATAGAACCTTCGTCAAGTTTCTGTGAGCATTCTGTGGGACAGGGAGTATGCAATGATACATTTCAAGGTAAACTGAAATTTTTGGTTACTAATTACTATTAGTAAAGCTGACTAATAGTTTGTGGTTACTTGCATATGCTACTCACCCACCCCTCACTTCCCAGATTCAGAGCATCACTGATGAGTCCCGGGGCACTACACTAAGGAGGAATTCTGCACGCGCGGCTTTGGAATTCCAGGACAGGAATCCTGATGTACCGAATGAAGAGGTAGTCTGTTTTCCCATGACTACATTTCTCCCAATCATCACAACATCTTAAAATTTCATTGACAGTCATTTCCAATGTATTGGCTTCTCACTCTTTATGTCTCATTCCCACCTACCCCACCACCCCCACCCCCTCTCTCTCTCTGTCTTTTTCCTCTCTCTCTCTTTTCCTGTCTTTTTTTCTCTCTTTCTCTCTTTCTTTTTTCTCTCTCTTTCTTTCTTTCTTTCTCTCTCTCTGTTTTTCTCTTTCGCTCGCGCGCTCTCCCTTTCGCTCGCGCGCTCTCCCTTTCGC